TCATCACTAAAGATTGATTAGACTGTGTTTTTAAAGCTCTGGTAGGTTGGCCTAAATGCATCGGCAAGTTGACTTGGTCCTTTCTGCTCTAAGGGGTTTGCACATCGTTAGGCCTTTAACAGAAAAGAAGTTGTTCTCTCTCAGCTCTCCTAGGTAGAGTCTGCCATTTCAGTTAGCTTTCTCCAAAGCTTTTGCCTGGCTACAGTGAGAATATGTATTGTTGTCAGGGAATTGCTGACATCTCGGTTCTTACTACATTTTCTTCAGCTTTCTTTCTCCTCCAGGCAGGAGATCTGGAGTAAATCTCCAGCGAATCCCAGTGAAAAGAGGTTTTGCTGTTATCCACACCAGCACTGTCCAATAGCAGCACAGTGCAGGACACTATGGAATGACATCTGGGGCTGGGGCTGTAGCTTGGTAGTAGTGCTTGCCAAATCAAGCAAGGACCTGAATTCAGTCCCCAGCACTGCAAAACAAAACTAGATTAAACAGCCAAAACTACTTACATTGTTTTGTAGCAGCCAGAATAAAAAAGTAAAGGAACTGGTGAAATTACCTTAATGTTTAATTCAGTTTATCCAAAAATATGTCAATGTGTAATTAAGTGTAAAATAGTTAATAAGATAAATTATATTCTCTTCGACAAAGCGATTCTTTGAAATAGGGCATTATTTTATACTTACAACACATCAATTTGGACTAGTCACATCCTGTTCAGGCCACTTATGACTAGAGGCTATTGTGTGAAGCAAGGCAAGTCTCCACCTCGACTCTCTTCCATTATTCTCCAAAGGCTAGGCCTTTAGGACAGAGAGTGGGTGAGGATCCTGTTTTTCTACATTCTAGTCTGTCTTCCCTGAAACAATGAGCAAAGGCCAGCTTAATTGGAGTGGAGGTGTAACGGTAAGATCAGTTTGGGGTAAAATCTTGGAGTGTCACAGGGTGACAGGAAACATGCAGAAAAATGGTACAACAACAACAACAACAAAAACATTGGTTACAATTTCAAAAGTATTACTTTGCCATGGTGAACTTCTAAGGTTATAAAAATTGTTATAGGATAGTTGTGATTATGTTTTTTGGCTATGGCTGTTCAACAATTCCATTATTCGTTATAAACTGCAATAATATTTTTGTGTACAGCATAATTACTCTGGTAACTGGAAAAAACCAATGTAAACTCCTGCAGTGTTGTTATTTGGAGTAAAACTTATTCGAAAGACTGAGGCACAAATTCTATTAGTAGTTAAATCCTACAGTGATATTGCTGACAATTTTTACTGCAAAAACTGTAAAACCCAAAGAAAAGAGTTTTGTCACCAGGAAAGATAACAGTAACGCAAGCCTCTGGCTGTATATCCTGACTGAGAATCTCCAATTTGGGGGTTTCAGATGAGAAAAGCTGGTTTACTGAAAATAATGTGTGTCCTTTTCTAAACTTCTATCACAAAGAAGTTTTAAAATTTGTGAATGGTGTTTCCCACCTGTTGCATTTTGTGCTTGATGGCACTTACAGGCAAACTTTGATTTTTTTTTTTTTAAGTATTGACTCTTCCATTCAGTAAAACTAAAATTTCACAGCCAGCAACCAAAGATTTATTATATGCAAATTAAGCCTGGGACAGAAGTGATGCTAAACCAAGGCCCACAGGAACAGAAAGGGGGCGACAGAAACATGGCAGGAGTCCTGGAAGGAGGAGGACTCATCACGGTGTACATGCTGAAAGGGAGGGCATATGACGCCTTCAGGGAAAGGTAACTTGTGGATTGCCAAATGATTCTAGCTACTATGGCATGAAGGGTGGCCATGAGGATTGAAGGTAGATAAATACGAAGTCATTACCATAAAGTCACAAATCCACCAAAATTATTGGTGTGTTTGTATCCCCTGAGTTAAGTCGAGAGGAATGATCTTAAACGTTCTGTCTGTGAGCCCTTAGCTTCTCAGGTAGAGACCTGTTGATACCAAGAGGTTAAATGCTACAGTATTCTGAAAAATCTTTTCCTTTTTTCTTGTTTGAGTTTGCTACTAAACATAACAATGCACACTGTCAATTATCACTTGATCACTTACCTTATGACAGGCACTTTATGTTCACATCATCCATCTTCTCAGCATCCCAGAAAGTGAACGTGTTTTCCTGGTTTTACAGGCTAGGAAATTCAATCTCAGAGAGGTTAAGCAATTTCTCTTGCATGTACGCTGAAGAGCTGTTTCTGAAAATTCCTTGAGAATAGAAACTATAACTTTAATGTACTATTAATAGTATTTGCTATGATCAATATTTAGTTGGTACTTCATTATAGGCTAAGCAGACAAAACAATCTTAGAATAGTCTATATTTAAAGTTTCCCAATCAATTTAGTTGCTAGACAGGTTATTTTTAAAAGTACTGTGGAGAGAAGCTGCTGTTCCTTGCAACCATCAGCAGCCAGCCTGTGTGCTTGAGCTCAGCAGTACAACAATGTCGAGGTCTACTCCTAATTTCTTCTCTTGTTCTGTAGACAATTTAACTCTTTCCATAGCTGCCTTGGTGACTAGAGAGAAAAATAAGTTAAGAGGCTGGGTGTAGTGGCACACGTCTTCACCCCAGCACGTGGAAACAGGCAGCTAGGTCTCTGTGAGTTGGAGGCCAGCCTATTCTATATGAAGAGTTCCAGGACAGCTGGGCTACACAGAAGAAAGACCCTGTATCAAATCAACAACAAAAAAACCAAGAAACTACTGGTCTCTTTGAAAATTTCTACAACTTGAGGAAGAGTCTTGTAGCTCTATTTTTCCTTCCTCCTTCCCTTCCTCTCTTCCTCCCTCTCATTTCCATTGCTCTTTAGACAATTTCTTTACAATAAAGTACCCTCTTTGAGAAACAGAAAGGATAATAAGAGAAACCAGAGTGACCACATTAGAACATTTGAGCCAACAAAGAGTAGTAAGTAGAGTACAAAAGCCTGATTATCATGTGAGTTCTTGAAAGACAATTTAGATGAACATATTTATGACCATTTCTATAAATTACCCATTAAAAAGGTCTATTTGCATAATACCTATTAATGAAGCAGGACATATTACTATCTGACATGATAACGCTTGTAGTAAAAAACCTAGAAAAGAAAGCTGCGAACTTTAAAGTGTATTTAAAATAAGAACACGTCATTTTGGTTATTTTACATTTTAGAATTAAGACTATAGCAAAACAAGTGATAATGATACCATTCTATAAAATGTACATTTTTGTGGCATTATCATATCACTTTCTTTTCTTGAAAGTGGAAATAGAATTAGATTCTGGGTTCAAGGCCCCTGTCTTCCCATCTCTCCTGACTCTACTCTTGCTCCTCATTCTATACAGACACCTCCTGTCACCCTACTTCCTCTCCTCCGAGGGAACTTTTCCAGAACCCCAGTAGCTTTCAAGCCACTTTTTAAAATTTGCTTCTTACTTTAGTAAGAATAGGAATTAGCCCCCAAACAATTAAACTTTTGCCTGTTTTCATGCTTGCTTCCATCTAGTTTCCAAACTATTTCCTCATTCCTTGCTGAGTGTTTTGCTTTTATAACCATTCCTTCTCAGCTTCCCTCTCTTCTTTCTCCTCTCCCTGTCCCCCCTTTTCTTTCCCTGTCCTCTCTTGTCTTCCCTCCCTCCCCTTCTCTCATACTAGCCTCCTTAGGCAACACTGAGGCACATCCCTACCCTCCTCAGTTTCTTAATTCGACTTTACTGTTTTGTCCTGAAAAGTTGTTATTTTATTCTTAGTTCTTTCTCTATACCCGAGGCCTGTGAAAGAACTAATACAGAGAGCAGTATTTTGTGTTTTGGAATCGTTTTCTGCCCCTTGAGAAAGTCTCTACATTTTCACATCCTCAGTGCCTTACACCGGTAGTCCCAGAAATCTCAGCAACCTGGGTGTCGAAGCAGGTGGGTCACGAGTTGCAGGCCCCCCTGAGCTGCTGGAGACCTTGCCTCTTTTACTAGGGGTAAACACCATCACCCTCAGACTATGAAGTTATTTCGTCCTCTCCCTTGCCTTCGCTTTCCACAGTCAACCACTCCCAAATCCACCCACAGCTCACCCCGGGGAATAATGAGACCGCAAACGAGCAGAAGAATGCGAGATTCGAAGAAATGCCGAGAATGAGAACAAGAAGAGGCTGTACTGTAAACATCTCGAGTCCGGCTCAGCTTAATCGATCTCTCTGCGGCCCGCCTTGAACCTGGGGCGGGGGCCTGGCAAGGTCAGGGAGAAACTCGGAGAGAGCTGGGAGAAACGGAGACGCGCTGGCTGCTCGAGCCGCAGCAGAGGGGCGCCCCGGCCGTGGGTGGGGATGGGAGAGACTCGGGGAGGGCCCACAGCGCCCCAGCGTCCCCGGCCGCCGCCCAGCCAGAAACCCTGCCCGGCGGCCTCGGGGCCGTGACGGACAGCCACCTTCCGCAGTCGCTCTCCTGCTCCGTGAAACACTGCTCCCGCCTCCCGCCGCCCTCTCTCAGCCAGTCAAGGCAGTCAGGGGGATGGGCGGGATCGTCCTTCGCGATTTCTATTTTTTTTTTTTAGAAAAAGAGGGTAGGCCCGGCGGGTTCCACCTCAGGGAAAAAAACCCACCTCGCGGGCTAGGGGTGGAGCCCTTGCGACTGGCAGGAGGCTCCGCCAATGGAGCGCCGCGCCCTCCCGAAGGCCCGCCCCCCGAGGAGGCGGGGCTCTCGCGGGCTCGGCCAATGGCGGCGGGGCGGACCGAGGTTGAGCCGCCGTGGGTAGGGTTAGTGTGAGAGGTGCGGCGGGGGAGGTAATGATGGTGGTGGCGGCCGAGGAGGGCGGGGGAGGGGGATCTGGGCGCTGAGCCGCGGCTCTGGCAGGGCTCGCTCCGGCGGGCGGGCGGGCGGGCGGGCGGGGGACGGGCGCAGGGCGCCGCGCCGGGGAGGGGGCGGGCGTCGTCCGCCCGGGAGGCTGCAGACCCCGGTTCCCGCGAGCGAGCGCCGCGCCGGGCTTCGCTGTCGCACGCGGCTCCGGCGGGGATGGAGGACTCGGCGGCGGCGGCGGCGGCGGCGGCGGAGCGGCTCTGAGGAGGGGACAGCGGGATTAGAGGTGTGAGGAGGGCTTGGAGCGGGCGAGCGGAGGGGCCGGGGCTCGGGGACCCAGGCTGGGGGCCGACGGCAGCGCTCGGTGACAGTGACCGCGGCTGGCAACGCCTGTCGCTGCGGAGAGAGGCAGGGGTCTGCGCTCGCTGCGTGAGGAGGCGAGGCTCAGGCCGGCTGCTCCGGTGGGGGAGGGAGGCGCCGCACCCCGCGCTGTCCGCTGGCCCGGCTGGTCATCGCTTCAAGCCCAGGCAGGAGTTTCCATTCCCCTCCTCCTGGCAGCCAAGGTGAAGGGGAAGCAAAGTGGCCTGGAGCTGGGACCTTGCCCTCCTCCTGCCGGGAGGTTTCCCTCCACTCCTAGTTCTCCATCCGTTGCCCTCTCCTACTGAACCAGCATCTCTCCCTACACCTGGGTTGTACTAAGCACATATTCTGAGACTCGAGGCTATTAATTATCGGCTGAAAAATAAAGTTTATTTAAAAATACTCCACTCCTCCTCCTGACTGGCGGTGGACATTCATCAGCATCCCCGACTTTCCCGCCCTGTTCTCCCTTCTGTGATGCTAGGTAGGGAAGGCAGGGCCCGCTGGCATCTCTCGATTGTTGGTGCTGACAACCTGGTGTATTGCTGCCTGTCTTCGGTGTGGTTTGTCATTTCTTCCTTGGTATCTTGCATCCTTGATGTTACTGGTTTTTGAGGCCGGTGTTTTGTTTCATTGTTTGAGAAATACGCAGATAACAGAGGTTACCTCGGTCTTATCTAGCACTTTGCACGCTTCTGCCCTCATAATCTTTCTCTTTCTGTCTGTGTTTTGCTTTTCAGTTCTCCAGAATACCCATCATATAGCCCCTGAGGTGGAATGGTGATGTCTCCATGAGGGAACCTCCTCTCACTGATCGTGTCATGTATATCAACAGTTCTTGACTGGGCCCTTCGTCCGAGATAGGATTTACCCTGTGAAACAGGGAGAAGACTTATGGACTCTAAGCATCATTTCAAGTTATAGTTTTCTTGAAAGGACAGACACAGCTCTTGTGCTTTGGATCCTCTGCTTTATTAAAGCTGCTTGTGTTGCTAATCCAGAACTGTTCCAGTCTATTGACCCATCACCATGGCTTCAGTTTGGAAGCGACTGCAGCGTGTGGGAAAACATGCATCCAAGTTCCAGTTTGTGGCCTCCTACCAGGAGCTGATGGTTGAATGTACAAAGAAATGGTAAGATGTGCTTAGGGATAGAGATTGATGTCTTGTTGCCTAAACACTCTGTAGCTGTGGACTACTGCGGGCCTTTTGGTAGCCAGGTTTACGTTTCAGTGGTACGCAAGTGTTTAGAAGCTGGGCAGGGTGCAGAGACTCTAACAAGTACTCTGTGTGCGCTGTTGCTGCTGGTACTGTCCCTGTGGGCTTTAATTACTCCGTTTCAGAGTATCTCAGAGGAATAAACTGAGAACACACCCAAGTACAGGAGTTTTGGCCTTCTGGTCACTTACCATCCGTATTAGAATAGCTTATGCATCTGTTTTAATGTAGCATACGTCCCAATTTATTTTGCTCTTATTTTTTCATTTTTACTTAAAGAATTTTTCAGTATTGGAATAATGGCCTGCCAGTCCACACAACCTCAGAAATTCTTTTGTGAAATGCTTAGTCAGGCAACTGTATTTTTTTTTTAATTGCCTAATGGGATACATTTCTTGGCAGGATTTAAGGAAGCAATTAGGATCAGTGGTCTATCATTTGCCTCTTTCCATTTGAGGAAAGTAAATTTAGGGCTTCCTTTTACTGCTGGAAATGATAAGAAGTAGGAATCCTTACTGAACAAGGGAAAAAAGTTAAGCAAATGGTCCTTTGAGTTTTGATTTATTATAGCGATTAAGCACTGTTACCACAAAATAAGTCCCTTTCATCAAGAACTGTAGTCTCATGTTTTCTAATGTCCTCCTCTTGGCTAAAGAAAATAGCTTGCTCCATCCTAGAACTCTTAGTTTTGTCTTGAGTTTGCAAGGAACATTATTTTAAATCAATTCAAGAAATGCGTGCAGTGTCTGCCTAGCTTATACAGACCCTGCTGATTTAGAGACAGAAACGGCCCCTCCCTGTCCCCAGGAGGCTCGAAGGCCAGGGCAAGGACACTGATTCCAGTACATTCGCTATGAAGGGACAGCAATGTAAGTATGTATGTTTAGGGACTCTGATGTGTTTGCACCCAGTTGGATATCCTGGGGATGGTACTTCTGTGTAACTCAGTCTCCCATGTGCATGTTAACAGTACCACTTCAGAGAAGATTAAATCAGTTCATTCTGTAAATTGCTTAGAACAGTGACAAAGACATAGTAAATGCCCATTAAGTGTCAGTATTCTCTATAGAGTTCACAGAGTAGGGCACAATGAAGAATGATACTAGTAAGGGGATCGGTGGCGCCTCTCTCTGCTTTCCGGGGATCTAAGCTGAATTTCGCTTTATTTCAGTTTTGTGTTAATTACTCTTATTAGGTTAGGCTGGCCGGCCAGTAAGCCTCAGGGACCTTCAGCCTTCGCTTCCCCAGCACCTGGTCACGCACAGTACGTACGCCGCTGGGCCTGGCTTTTTACGTAGGTGCTGGGGAGTGAATTGAGGTTCTCACGCTTGCACGCAAGCACCTCGCTGATGGAGCTGCCTCTCCAACTTCAGGTCTAAGGCTGGAGAGGCATAGTCATTGTACAGCGAGTCAGAGAGGAGGAAGCGAAGAACATTTTAGAAAATTACGCGTTTAGACAACCTATATTGCAGGATGCGTGCTGGGAATTTAAGCGGTACAGTTTTCTATCATGAGGCTTTAAGTCTAGCATGAGAGCTGGGTGGACTGGCATATCCCTGTAATTATAGTGTAGGCCGAGGCAGGAGGATTTCAGATTTGAGGCCAGTTTGGGATAAAAATTCAAACTCTGTCATTAGAAAAAAGTGTTGGGTGAGGGGAGTTACAGTGTGGTAGGGCATTTGAAAGCCTGGAAGGACTCAACTCCTAGAAATTTATATGCTGTTATAAATAGCCTTGGCTTTGGTGTGTCAGTGACAGGGTCACTGTGGAAGCTCTGAGATGGAGAGACACTCAGGTTTGTGATTGGAAAATTACCAGGCTGCGGTGTGGCATGAGGATCCTAGCCAGCAGGGTGGGTGACTGAGGCAGTGATGCTATTACAGTGGGTAAGGGTGAGAAAGGCGTGCGGATGAGCTAGTGGCAGAGGGTATGGAGAGAACTGACTGGAAGAATACTTAGAAAAAATGATGGGACTTGATGGTCCTTTCAGTTGAGGACAGGGAGGAATGGTGTAAGGGAGATGGGAAAAGTTAAAGCCATGGACTCTATTATCAAGGAAGGTGGTCTTGATTGAGTCCGCTTCTTAATTTGTAGGACACTGGGAACAGCCACTTTGAGTCTAATTTGAATCTTTTGAGGCAGAGTGCCACGGTATCAGGCTTCAAACTCAGTTCCTCAGCCTCTTCCTGTTAGCTCTGGAATTGTGTGAGACTTGAATCTCATTTGTTTTCATTTTCTTTTATTGCATATATATTTTTTCATACGATATATTCTGATTACGGTTTCCTTTCCCCCTCTACTCCTTCCGGTTCTTCCTCACTTCCTCTCCCATCCAGAATCACTCCCTTTCTGGGTTTCCTTAGAAAACAAATGGGCATCTAAGGGACAATAAAATAAGAGAAAACCAAAACAGAATAGGACAAAACAAACAGAAAAAAGAGAGCCCAAGAAAAGGCACAAGAAACAGATACAGACACAGAAACACGTGCAGAGGCACACTTGTTCACACATTCAGGAAGCCCATAAAAACACAAAATGAGAAGCCATAATATATATATGCAAAACCTGTAGGGTAAAAAAAACAAACAAAAAATGTGGTTTAAAAAAAAAAAAGCCCTGCTATGACATTATGAGACAAGGAACCTCCAAAGATGTTAATGCCGTTGAGTGTTTTCTGTTGGCTGTCTACTGCTGGACATGCAGCCTTACCCTTAAGAGTGGTTTGTTTCGTCAGCGAGACTCCTTTGGAGAAAACGAATTTTTCATTTGCAAGAGGTTCTCAGCTGGAACTGGCTTCTGGGTTAGGGATGGGGCGTGTGTCTGCTTCTCAGCTCGGGACCCCATCTGTGCAGATCCTTGTGGGCCTTGCCTCAGTTTCTGTGAGTTTACGCGAGCATGGGTCTTGCTGTGTTTAGATGCCTTGTTTCCTTGGTGTCCTTCATCCCCTCGGGCTCTTATATTTCTTTTTCTACTGCTTCTTCAGATGAGTTCCCTGAGCCCTGAGGGAAGGATTAGGTGGAGACATCCACTTTAGGGCTGAGTGTTCCAAGGTCTCTGCATATTATCTGCTTGTGGGTCTCTATTTGTTTCCATTTGCTGCAGGGGGAAGCTTTTCTGATGCTGGCTGAGCAAGACGCTGAGTTATGAGTGTAGCAGAGCTCATTAGGAGTCATTTTGTTACTACATTACTTTAGTAGGCTGGTAGTATTTGGTTGTTCCTAGGTCTCTGGTTCTTGGCAAGCACGGTGGGGGGTATGGAGTCCATCTCATGGAGTGGGCCTTAAGTCAAATCAGACACTGGTTGGCTACTCCAACAAGCTTTGTGGCACCATTGCACTAGCTTGGTAGGACACCACCCATCGTAGGTCAGAGGGCTTGCAGCTGGGTTGGTGTTTACATTTCTCTTTTGTTAGCTTGCAGAGAACCTTGTGGTGACAAGACCGCTAGCCAGTAGGGGTGAAGACCCTAGGTGGGCACCGGCTCCACTTCTCCAGTCAGTGAGTTGTGGAGGTGTTCTTTTCAGCATGTGGCCTTGCTATCAGACCGTGGCGAGCAAACAACAGCCTGGGTTGTTTGAGGGTTCCCACGAATCTCATTTCTTAAAAACATAGAACGTTATTTTTCAGTTAAAGAGAAAAAAAACAAACAAACAGTTTCTTGTTGGGTTTCGTGGAATACACTTGGAATCTTAGTACATGACAGGTTGAGACGGCAAGATCAGGAGTTCAAGGGTGCCCTCTTTAACAAAGCCAGTTGGAGGTCAGTATGGTGGCGCATGAGACCTTGTTCCACCAAAAACCAAACAAGAAATAAACAAAATGAGTTTCTTGTGGGGCATGATGGCTTGTGATCTAGTTACCAGGGAGGCTGGAGCTGATGCCAGGTTATGCTACAGAGTGAGACCCTTTCTTAAACCAACTCTTACCAAAAAAGAAAAAAAAAAAATCTGTTTCTTCCGCATAATCTGTAGTAACATCTTTTGTGTTCTTCTCCTGAGCAACATATAAGCCATTATTAACACATCTTAAGGCAAAAACAGACTATAGTTGAATAGGTAGCTCGATTACGTTAGTTATGGTCATTAAAGGTACAGCAGTTAAACCAGAGTCTCTGATGAGAGATGGACTTAATACTTGTATGCTTTGTCGTTTTCAGATATAAAGTACCATATCGTGAAATTGTTCCTGCTTTCATGTAAAAATACAGCCTAGGAGCTGGGCGGCAGCAGGGGGTGGGAGCGCTGCAGCTCTTGCTGCGCAGGGCGCTGGTTTGGCTCGCAGCACCTGCGCGGAGGCACAGGAGCAGCTCTAAGTGCAGCTCGGGACCCATTGCGTTCTTCAGACCTCCCTGGGCACCAGGCACGCAGGTGGGGCACACGCATGCGGCCAAGCGTCCATACACGTAAAAGTAAATAGGTGTTTACTAAAAACAGGGTTTTAAGCTAACAAGGGGCTAGTGCTCATGAGATAACTGCTCTATTTGCTGTAGAGGAGTCTTATTTATAGGTAGATCCTTAAAGTATTTTCATTATATAAAAATTGATTCTAATCATTTTTACTTAACATTTCTTTTTCTTTACTTTGTGTAGAGTTCTTGTGAAGATACAAATGAGGCCCAGTTTCTAAACTCGTATCCTATAGTCTTTTTTGTGTGTGCCATTTTTTTCATTCTCATTTAAATATTTTCCAGATGTGTTTGCTGAATTGTTTAAAGTATATAAAAATAGACTTGAAACACAGTGAGAATATTTTTCTCAGCCATGTTTACATTTTATTTATTGTTTATTCATCTATTTATTTCTGGGACTTGAACTTTGGGTCTTGAGCATGGTAAACAATGCTCTTGGCCTCTCAGCTACCTCCCTGCTCACCTGTGTGGTTTTTGGATATTACTTTAGATGTGGAAGAATAAAACTA